GGTTAAATTTGGGTTTAAATCCTGAAATGAATACTTCTAATCAAACAGGTAATTATCACATTATGTAAGACTATCACACACATTGAGATAACTTTTTAACTTTTTTAAACAATTCCGGACACTTATCTCAACCACTGATGAATCCTCCTCTCTCAAACCATTGTGGGACCGTTTTTCAAGCATTGACACTCTTTTCTCTTGCTCACTAAAGACCCTTTTTTGTTGCCTATTTATGTAACTCTACTTCCATCCATTAGCATAGTCTTTTTAGACATTACGAAACCTTTTCAATAACAATTTCTGGACACTAGTCTTTTGGCCATTCCCGGCTTGGCTTCTCTATACACCAATCAAGCATTTTATAACGAATAATAGATAGGAAATTTTATGATTTCTAAAAAATAATAAATTAACTTTTTACAAATTTAAGTTGGCAAATTCTCTTTTGTTAAAAATAAAAGAGGAAAACGTAATTTAAAATATGATGGTTATATATGTAAAAGTTATAGTCATAATTAGAGCCCGGATTTTTATGCAAATGCATATTTTTTTTGCAAACTTTTCATGATGTGTTATGCACAAAAAACACTGTTTCCGCAAGTTTTGAAAACTTTAGAGGGGGTTTCTATTTGCATATAATGCATATTTTTGCATATTCCGGACTTTGTTGCATAATGCATATTTTACTGCATATTTTGAGGTTTTTGGGGAAAATATTGCGAAAATTGCCTAAAATCCTGCCAAAAAGTGAAAATTTAGTAAAAATTTAGGAAAAATTTGTAAAAATTACAAATTTAGTAAAAAAATTTTTGTGTTTATTGGTTTCGCCAGAAAATTGCCCACCCCCATAATGTCTCAGCCCCAAAACGTCGCACCCCAAGACGTCCCACCACCAAAATGCCTCATCTCAAAATGCCCAACACCGTAAAAATGCTCAATTTGTCGAACTATACATTTAAAATACGAGAAATCTTAATAAAAAAATGTAATTTAAATCATTTTGACTAAAAATATGTAAAATTTTTAGGTATAAATGGTATTTTTCGTGCATATATGCGTGTATATTTTGGTTTACTTGCATATTTTTGTGCATATTTTGGCAATTTTTTATGCATATTATAGTGCATATTTTGCATTTTTTAATGCATAAAAATCCGGGCTCTAGTAATTAATATAGATAGTGTTAATTGCGAGAGAGCAATTATTTGAGCATATATCGTGAAATCTCTAAAAGAATGCATTGTCATCTATTTTTCAAAATCTTGCAATGTGTCATTCCATTGGAGATTGAGTTTACTGGATGCACTCAAATGGAGAATTTTCTGTACGTTATGTTGGATTAGGGAACTTGAGCGTCAGCCAAATTTGATCGACTATAACTTTTTTAATCTTGATCAAATCCGAATAAATCTTAAATCATTCTAAAGCTCAATCTTTAACCCAAATGGATAATGCTCAGGTGGCCCGTTCCGGGTATGATGCGAGGGACAGGATCCTGCGCAGGATTTTGCAGGATCCAGCTTCCGCAATCACGCACTTTTTGTGATTTGCGGGATTTTGCGGGATGCGGGATTTATTCGCAAAATCCTGTCCCGCAAATATTTTGGAAAAAAATCCCGGATGCGGAAAAATATCCCGGAATAGGCAAAAAATAGTTAAAGCCGATAAAATTGGCTGACGCTCAAGTGTCTAGTTTTGGTTATGTTTTATTCAAACTCTCAAATTTTCTAGTATCATACAGTGTTTCAACATGTTAGTCTTGAGCTGGTCCCTTTCCTTTATCTGTTGAAATTATTAAAATTTAGTTTTTAACACATTATTATTTAATTTTCAATAAAAAACCTTGAGGTCCAAGATTGCTTCCTCGGCGTTGTCGTTGACGAGAACTTCCTCCTAAATTTATTATTTAATTAATTTATACTTTTCACTTATATTCGCATTTGTTGTATTAAAATATTTTGTCAAAAACAGATATTCTTTTTACCTTGATTTGACCCAGATTCTTGTCCTTGGGCAGGTTCTAAATTATTAAAATTTATATTTATACAAATGGGAAAATTGACCCTTTATGGTACAGCACACATCTGAACTTAATCATTTGTTGTTCAGCCTATTGTTAAATAATTGGAAAAATGGAGGGATGGAATATGAATTAACAAAGTATAAGTTTTCGAAAGTTGGTGAATAATTGGGATAATGTTTGGGAATAAATATTGAAAAGAGATGATTGTTTAATCTATTGGAATTTTTGTAAAGGATAAGTAAAGGGAACGGAAATGAATTGACAATAAAATGTGCAAAAAGGAAATAATAATTGTAAAGGAAGGATATTTACTAGAAAAATATACATAAGTGAACTAAAAATAAATTGTTTACGTGAAATAAATCTGGGGTCTGGATAAGAATAAATAGTAAGTATCGAATCTCGAATCCGGTGTTTACAAGAATATTTTTTCTCTCGTATTATTTATATTCTTATTAATTAAAATTAAAAATATTTCAAATGTGTATACCTCCAATTATCACTCCACGTGTTCGACCTCGTCCTGTTTGATATTCTTCAGCAGACTGATCAATAGCTTGTTGCATTTCTTGAGGATCAAATCCTAGTTTATAAATTTTAATCATAAAATAGTTCTACTGTGTGAATATTAGTAAAATTAATTCATAATAAGAAATATATTTTTTAGATAATAATTTACTAATTAAAAATAGAACAATGGTAAATGTCCAGCTCGTGGCCTATATGTCCGCAAAAGGAATTTCTGCAAAAATCATTTTTCGTTGCGTTCTCCTCCTTACCGTTTCTTTTCTTTGATGGGTTAACATCTTGGCGCATCTACTTTATGGAGTAAGTCATGAAAAAAGTTTATGCACAAAGTAATTAAATAAAAATTTGACGAATATAAATTTGTGAAAAAAATCTAAATTTTAGAAATCCGGTTTTCAGTTTTGTTTTTTTACCGATATTTTGAAGGAATTTTTAATAAAATCATTCATTTTCACAAATTTCCTGTTTTTGGTTTTTAAAATTTCTAAAAACGGTTAATTTTTGGCAAAAAATTTCAAAAATTCCGGTTTTAAAACCGGTCGCCATCAACCCTAGTATAAAGGAATTGTTTAGAAAAATTAGGGGTTTTAATTTTTGCACATATAAAAATTTCATTTAAAAATTTTTAGTGTTTTATAAAACATTTACAAATTTTATTTAATTAAATTTTTATTTAATTAATTTGTACATAAACTCTTTTTCATAACTTACTCAATAAAGAGACAGGTATATTTTTTCACTTACTGATATTCTAATTAAAATTAAGGATATTTCATATGTGTATACCTCCTCCTTGTGCTCCCTCTTGACCTCTTTGATATTCTTCACCAGACTGATCAATAGCTTGTTGCATTTCTAGAGAATCGAATCCTACTTATTAAATTTTAATCATAAAATAGTTTTACAATGTGAATATTATTAAAATAAATTCATAATAAGATATATATTCTTTTAGATAATAATTTACTAATTCAAAATAGAACAATTAGAACTAGCAAATTTAATATAATTTTAGAAATTTTTTACTTTGCCCTCAAAAATGTGAATTTTTCCATCTTAATATTTCCGATTATATAAAATAAAGGAAATTCGACTATTAAAATAAATTTTTTTTAAATATGTAGATGTCAGTTAACTAATTTACAAGTAAACAAGTAAATAAATTACAAGTAAATTATATAAATTTACAATAATATTTACCTTCTCCTCCATCATGGTATTTTTGCTTATGTTTTGTTGTTAGTATGTATTTATTTCCTTCATATTCATATTTAACTCGCCCTCCACAATTTCTTTTATTACAGACGTAATGAATATTTCCAGTTTTACTTTTTCCTTCTTCGTAATATTCATAACTCTTCCAAACTAATTTATTTTTCCCTTTTTGCGTTTTTATAATATAAGGCTCTTATTAAAAATAATAATTACTAACATATTTACTAGATTGATTCCCCTACGTAATTAGAACCGCTTGAAAAGCAATAAATCCCCTGTTACTTATCCCCCAGTTACTTATTACTAGCTCCAAGTTTAAATTTCTACTTATAACTGGCCCACTCTGAAAACCACATTAGATCCAAAACCCGATGACGAATGCAAGATATTTAAATTTGATTTTAAATTTTTCTAATATTTAAATTTGATTTTAAATTTTTCTAATTTAGAAAGTAAAGCTCATTGTTGGAAATTTTAAAATATTACCATTTCTAATTCTTTCTTTTCTTTCACAAGTGTGTTCAGATTTAGTTTCAATGACCATCTTCATTCCTTTTAATTGATCAACTGTTAATTTTTTCAATTCTTCATATTTAACTCCTTTTGTAACAACTTTTCCCGCACATTTAGAATTAGAATATTTATTGCACACCCAAGTGATAATCTCCTTTTTATCACTATGACTATTATGTTTATATATATAACCATCATATTTTAAATTACGTCCTCCTCTTTCATTTTTAACAAAAGAGAATTTGCCATCTTAAATTTGTAAAAATAACTTCATTCATTGGCTGCAGTTAGATAAGAAATTTTTTGCTATTTTTAGTGCATATTTTGCAATATTTTTTGGCATATTTTGGCATAGTTTTTTAAAATAAAATTCAAATTTAACCTAACAACCTTAAAATTACAAATTAAATCTTTTTGATTGATCATAATGTACTCTATTTTCAGAGGTTTTTCTTCACAGAGGTTTTTCATTAAAAATTAATTTACTATATGCTCTTGTGTAAATTATTTTTTGCGAGAAAAGCTTTGTCTCTGCACTTGCGGAAAAAAAATATAAATGAAAATAAATAACCCGTCGCCGGATTGGATGGTGGAACAGTCTGATGTGCTTCGGTTTAGGCCCTTCCGTGATACTATTGCATCTACCATCTAATGAATTTTTACAGTATATAATTAAAAGAAAGACGTTATTGCAAATAAACGCTTTTTCGCAAATATTTTTCTACATTTTTGTTACTTTACCTTTTTTACCTGTTTGATCTGATGGATTAGTTACTTGATGGTATTTTGCACTCATATGTTGATGTTGAGTTGGGTATAAAGATTGATTACTGCCAAGTGTTAAATCCAAATTTAACCAATCTTGAGAAGATTCATGTCCAGCAGGATTCGCTCCTTTAGGGTATTCTGCGCTCATATGTTGATGTTGAGTTGGGTATAAAGACTGATTACTGCCAAGTGTTAAATCCAAATTTAACCGATTTTGAGAAGTATCTTGACCAGAAGGATTAATATGCTGATGTTGATATGGATAATTGCCATATCCTAATTGTAAATCCCACAAATTTCGAGGTATTTGACCAGACGGATTCGCTTGTAGGTGTTGAGTTGAGTTTAAATACGGATTATTGCCAAAACCTCGATTCAAATCAAACAAATTTTGAGAATGTTCTGTGCCAGAATACATTCCTTGAGAGTATCCTCCAGTACTTGTGGGAATGCTTCCAGTTCCAGTTCCTCCATGGCCACTAGTTCCTGTCCCGCTTGTCTCAACATCTCGATATTGAAAAGGATTGAAATAATTTTGTTCATCCTTTTCTTCATCGCTATTAGTTGAATGAACAAGATGAGGCGTTAAAAATAGGCAAAGAAATAAAGCTATTGAAAGCTTCATTACTTTCTAGAATTATTTTAATAATATTTTACAAAATTAATTAAATTTATAAAAACAATAATAACAATGATGCCTTAAATAATAAGAGGGTGAGTTCAATTATTTAGGCTCTATTCTCGCTTTTCCCTTACTATTTGCTAATATGGAGAGTTAATTAGGTTTTTCTCTTTGTGAGAAATCATTTTTGCTATTAGAGATCGGACAAAAGACAAAATCAAATATTTGATCAAATAATTTGAAAATTATTTGATATTTGAAAAAATTTGATCTGCAAAGTCAAATATTTGATCAAATATCAAATTTTTAAAAAAATTCTGGAAAGCAATATAAATCTGTGTATATGTGAGTATATCGGGGATATTAGGATATGAAGATGATATTGGAGGACTAAGTTAGATGTGGGGGGATTAAGGGTGATATGAGAGAATTGTAAGGCTTAAGGGGGATATAGGGGGATATTGGGAGATTAAGAGTTGATGTAATAAAGGGATATAACATGCATCGGGTTGATATATATTTTGATCGTCAAATTGATCGTCCATTGATATATATTTTGATCGTCAAATCCATCTATATTCCCTTAATCTACCTAAATTCCTCTTAATCTTCCCAAATCATCTAAGATGATCTACCTCTAATCCCTCAACATCACTGATAATCCTCAAAATCCCTTCTAAATTACTATACAAGGGGGACTCAATGTGCGGAAACAACTATGAAGTAATATAGGGATATCATGTGCATCGGGATATGTTCTGCTACGCTAAATAATGTGTCCTAGAGCAAAAATCACGGTTGTCATAGCGATTTTATAAGAAAAATATGCCATCTTACATGCTAAAAAATCAAATTATTTGATATTTGATCAAATATTTGATCTTTCAAAACTTCATCAAACAAATATTTGATCAAATTATTTGATATTTATTTGATATTTGAAAAAATCAAATTTCCTCAAAAACTCACAAACAAATATTTGATCAAATAAAATCAAATAAAATTTGGTCAAATATTTGATTTTATTTGACCAAATATTTGTTTGGTCCGATCTTTATTGGCTATATTCTCTCGTCTTTTTAAAAAAATTATTTTTTTAATAATTAATTTTCTAATAAAATAACTACAAGACAATAATATTAATAAAATACATAAAATCTGAGCTAATGTACATTTTTTATATCTTTAACGGAGAGGTAGCTCTGGTGAGATTAGCGTCATTTCGCATGATATTGCTATTCACTCTATTTTCTAAGTTTTTAAGAATAATGTGAAAGTGAATATCCGGCAATTATTTCAGCCTGCCTTCAAAGGAAAATTCGACTTGGCAGGATAAACATAATAGCCTTTATTGACTTCCAAGTTGACTTGCACCTAGAATCGAATGTATAAAGTCTTGACAAGTATTTATTTTTGGTAAACTGCTCTAGGGTTACAAAATTCCATTGCAAGAACTTTTATCTACACTTGTTTTAATTTTTATCTACTCAGCGTATGACTTTTAGCTACTCATTGTCTGAGCCCTTATCTACTTATTACCAGAACACTTAACTACCATAAACAATTCTACCCGTTACCAGAACTCATATCTACCCATTGGCTGAACTCTAATTGATCCAATGTCACAACAATTACCTTCCCTACTGTCTGAACTCTTATCTACTCATTATCTGAACTCATCTATCCAATGCTAGAACACGTATCTATCCATTGTCTGAATTCTTATCCAAAGATTATAATTGCCAGATCATATGCCTGACTTTTATCAACCCAATGACAGAACTTCATCTACATATTGTATGTACTCTTATCTTCCCATTGTTTGAACTCTTATCAACATAGTCTGAACTTTTATCTACTCAGTCCTGTGACCTTATCTACCCATTGGCAAAACTCTTAAATCTCCAGTGTCTAAGCATTTATCTACCCATTGTGTCAACTCTTATCAACCTAGTTTGATTAACCGTAGAGTTAATTGAACATCATTTCGCGTGAATTTGCTATTCTCAATTTTCTAAGTTTTTAAGAATAATGTGAAAGTGAATATCCGGCTATTATTTCAGCCTGCCTTCAAAGGGAAATTCGACTTGGCAGGATATACATAATAAAGTGACGATAATTGTAGTGAATTTTTGATTGAGCATTGTAATTTCAATGAATTTAATAGAAATTGCTTTAAAGGATTTTCATTAAGCGTTAATAAACTTTAAGTTATTAACTTTTTAAGCCAAAAAAGAGAGGGCACTTGAATTGGATATATCTTATAGTAAGTCTAACTGAAAATAAAAAGATGGCCGAAAGGGAGAAGTGGATATCCATCAAAAATTTTTGCCCGTTTTTAAAGGAAAATTATAAGGGGCTGTTTTGCCCTCCCCTTATTGCCAAAAATTAGGGTAAGCAAATGAATGAAAGTAATGCGTCCCATGAAAGTATATGCGTCCCATGAAAGTATATGCGTCCCATGAAAGTATATGCGTCCCATGAAAGTATATGCGTCCCATGAAAGTATATGCGTCCCATGAAAGTATATGCGTCACATGAAAGTATATGCGTCCCATGAAAGTATATGCGTCCCATGAAAGTATATGCGTCACATGAAAGTATATGCGTCCCATGAAAGTATATGCGTCCCATGAAAGTATATGCGTCCCATGAAAGTATATGCGTCACATGAAAGTATATGCGTCCCATGAAAGTATATGCGTCCCATGAAAGTATATGCGTCACATGAAAGTATATGCGTCCCATGAAAGTATATGCGTCACATGAAAGTATATGCGTCCCATGAAAGTATATGCGTCCCATGAAAGTATATGCGTCCCATGAAAGTATATGCGTCACATGAAAGTATATGCGTCCCATGAAAGTATATGCGTCACATGAAAGTATATGCGTCCCATGAAAGTATATGCGTCACATGAAAGTATATGCGTCCCATGAAAGTATATGCGTCACATGAAAGTATATGCGTCCCATGAAAGTATATGCGTCACATGAAAGTATATGCGTCCCATGAAAGTATATGCGTCCCATGAAAGTATATGCGTCACATGAAAGTATATGCGTCCCATGAAAGTATATGCGTCACATGAAAGTATATGCGTCCCATGAAAGTATATGCGTCACATGAAAGTATATGCGTCCCATGAAAGTATATGCGTCCCATGAAAGTATATGCGTCACATGAAAGTATATGCGTCCCATGAAAGTATATGCGTCCCATGAAAGTATATGCGTCACATGAAAGTATATGCGTCCCATGAAAGTATATGCGTCCCATGAAAGTATATGCGTCCCATGAAAGTATATGCGTCACATGAAAGTATATGCGTCCCATGAAAGTATATGCGTCCCATGAAAGTATATGCGTCACATGAAAGTATATGCGTCCCATGAAAGTATATGCGTCACATGAAAGTATATGCGTCCCATGAAAGTATATGCGTCCCATGAAAGTATATGCGTCCCATGAAAGTATATGCGTCACATGAAAGTATATGCGTCCCATGAAAGTATATGCGTCACATGAAAGTATATGCGTCCCATGAAAGTATATGCGTCACATGAAAGTATATGCGTCCCATGAAAGTATATGCGTCACATGAAAGTATATGCGTCCCATGAAAGTATATGCGTCACATGAAAGTATATGCGTCACATGAAAGTATATGCGTCACATGAAAGTATATGCGTCCCATGAAAGTATATGCGTCACATGAAAGTATATGCGTCCCATGAAAGTATATGCGTCACATGAAAGTATATGCGTCACATGAAAGTATATGCGTCCCATGAAAGGCGCATATACAGCCTAAGGGACTTACTAATTATTTTTAAATTATTGCAAGAACAATTAAAAATAAATTTTAATTTAATGAAAAATATAATATTAAATAATTAACAAAATTTTTAAAAAATTGTCAAATTAAAAATTTTCTTTTTCCCTAACATTCAATTTCCCCAAATTCTGGCTAGTCGTATTAGGAGGAACTTGACAACAATTTGAGTAGTTATACAAACAGTAGCTGTATTTTTCTGCTTAAGAAAAAGACGAAAATAAATTGCCGAACAAAACACAGGAATACATTACCCCCTAACAACATTTCGAATCGCATATTAACCCATGTTATAGATATAACAGCTGTTATCGAGTAACTTTTCTTTAACTTAAAAAGCTTTCAAAGGTTCATCTTATCTCCTCCTCCCAACTAAAACTTTGTCATTTTGTGTTGAACAAAAACTTTGTTAATAGAGTTTTTTAATCGTTCTTCATTAAGTTCGGGGAAAGGACTCCTAGACGTCTCTCGAAAGTCGCTCGAACTTCAGGAGACCCAACCCTGGGAGGGTCCCCATTTTTCAAAATACTTCAGAGCGACACATAGCTTTTCTCAATCCTTGGCATTGTTTGCTTCTTACCTTTTGTAAATGGGTAAGAATGGCTAAGAAGAAAAGCAAAATGTAACTAGATAACCGAATATACCAAAAATTCAATTTTGAAAATTTTAATAAATTTACCCGCATCAGATAACCGGCACCCCCTCTTCTGCTTATATTGGAGAATGTGCTCTAGTTTTCTGTTCAATGGATGCGGCTATTTGTTCGGCAATTTATTTACGTCTTTTCCTTAAGCAGAAAAATACAGCTACTGTTTGTATAACTACTCAAATGGATGTACAAATTCCTCCTAATATGACTAGCCAGAATTTGGGGAAATTGAATGTTAGGGAAAAAGAAAATTTTTAAATTGACAATATTTTTTAAAAATTTTGTTAATTACTTAATATTATATTTTTCATTAAACTAAAATTTATTTTTAATTATTCTTGCAATAATTTGAAAATATTTAGTAAGTCACTTAGGCTGTATATGCGTCTTTCATGTGACGCATATACTTTCATGGGACGCATATACTTTCATGGGACGCATATACTTTCATGGGACGCATATACTTTCATGGGACGCATATACTTTCATGGGACGCATATACTTTCATGGGACGCATT